GGGGGGGACAAAAGATGAGGGCTATGCAGAGCAAAAGGGGAAAAGGAAGGCAAAACACGTCCCGCAAAAACAAACTCCCCAACCGTTACCGAAACACATCAGATGCCCTTCAACGAGGTGTACCTCTCCTGATATCCCTTTAGCTGCGCGTCCTTCTCGGCTATCTGCCGCCTCTTCAGTTCGCACTCCTTCTCGAGGGTGGCGGTCAGCTCGGACTGAAACAACTGAAAGTCGAATTCGAGTTTTTCCAATTCACCCTGCTTAACAAAATTATTATGCTCACCCTGCTTGTTCTTAATCTGGGAAGCGATCGATTCAACCAACTCATCATACTTGTGTGTGAGCGCATTTTTCGTCTCTTTCATTTTATCCTCCAAAGTACCTTGCTGCTTGGCCACTTCTAAATGCATATTGCTTAGGTCTTGGGAGACCATCTCCAGCCGATTGTGCAAATCAGCCTGCTCATTTTCCAGTGTCTTAATTTCTTCCTCCCGTTCGGTAACCCTCTTAGCAGTATCGTTTATCTCTTTTTGGAGTGAGTTGTGCATCTCATCTTGTTCGTATACATCAGCTGATAACTTCGTGAAGTGTGTTTTTAATTCTTCGTAGGTCTTCTCCACATCATTATTATCTGACCCATCCTCCGCCTCGCGTTTTAAATTGGCTAGCTGTTCGTTGGACAAATTTACTAGCTGCAACAATTTGGACAATTTAAAAAAAAAATCTTTTTGCGCAAGGAGTAACTTTTCTGATTTTTCCATAAGACTTAAAATTTCTTCCTTCGTTTTCTCATTTTCCAACTTTACATTCTCTAACTGTGCCAATTCGGTTTCATGTCCCTGCAGCGTACAACGACATTGATTCATGGATATGGCCACTGCCTCCATCCTTCTATTCACATGGTCATAATTATCTCGTACCTTTGCATTTTCATTTTTGACCTCATTGCATTTCTCACTTATATGTGAAAATTCTTCCTGTGTCTTCTTCAAATTGGTTTTCTTCTTGATCAGTTCATCACTTAATTCTTTTATGAGGAGAGACTCCTGCTCGTTTTCTCTTTTGCTTTCTTCACAATAGTGGGATACATTACTCAGACCTATCTCCAATTGCTTGTAACTTCCGCTGAGTTCATTTTTCTCCTCCTGCATGGCAGTTACTTCATTTTCTAACCCGTTTATCTGCTCACATAGCAGGTCGCATTTGTCATTGATATGGGAGTTACACCGATACAGGTCGTTTAAGATTATGTCATGTTCGTCCTTTAATCCTTGTAGTTCATCATTTTTTATCTTCTTTTCATTGCACAAACTTGAGATTTCCTTTTGCATTTCTTCCATTTGCTCCTCAATTTTGTTTAAATCGATCGAACTTTGTTTCTTTTCGTTCATTTGGGAGTTACATTTTTCCTTTATCATTTCAAATTCCTTTTTATATTCTTCTATCCTAGACAGTAGTTCCCTGTATTTATTTTCCACATCATTTTTTTCTTCCCTTTTTATCTCTATTTCTTCCTGAACATGTTCATATTTTTTTTTCAAACTTTGCACTTCTTTTTGCATGCTTATGATATTTTCCTTTGTAGAGGTAAGTTGATTAGTTTTCTCCACCAGCATTTCATACGCTCTGTCAAATGTCGTTAACTCATTTTCTTTTATATTTTTTAATTTTACATTCATGTATCCATTCTGATCACTCAGATCACTAATGATATTTTCGTATTTGATAAAAACGTAACTCAGATTGGTCGTTGTGTATTCAAAATAATTCTTAATTAACTCTTCTTCCACTTTTAACTCTTTGTTCCCTTCCTTTATCTGTCTCTCCAACTCTTCAGACATGCATTTTAAATATGAAAATTTTTTTTTTATATTATTCAATTCGAACTCTGTTTTCGATCGTTTCTTCAGTTGCTCGCTGATGATAATGCTAATGTCCGTTTTTATATTTTCAAATAATTTTATTTCCTTTTCCTTCTGCCTGTTGTTGTATCGAGTGTCCAGTAAGATTGTTAGGGACTCTCGTGACCTCTTTGTCGTCTTTTCCATGGTGCGTGTACAATCGTGAAAGTCACACGTATATTAATATATACCCTCTGAATATGTTCTCTCTTTTCCTTCTCACAGATGGGATATACTGCACAAAATTAGTTACAAACTGGAAAGGCGCTCAAAAGTGCGGCTGAGGGGGAGGGTAATTTTTCACACCCTTTACGCATTCAGTGGACAGGGACTCGCTTCACCGGGGGAGACACAATACACATCGACGGTCTTCCGCTTAGCCCCAGTCCAGCTGCTGTCCTTTTTTTTTTGTATTTTGAATGGCGCACCCACAAAAATATGGGTTTATCACGCTATGGAAAAAAAGCAAAAAAACAAAGGCTGTTTTTCCCGGTGGGGTTAGCACAACTGAGTCAGCAACGGCACAAATATCTGGAGAACTCATAAACCTGAATTGCACAAATGACAACATTAAGGAGAAACAGTGTTGAGCAACTTTATCGGGTAACCTGAACGCGCCACTCTTACATGTCCCTTTTCCCGTCTTTTTTCACAACCCCCCTTTTTCCCACAAGCGTACATACACTACTTCCACCAAGTGCACATGCACATTTCGCTTGTCTACACCTCCCCCCGCTCCCTTTTTATCCCTAACAAAAGGTACTTATTTATAATTTTGCGAGTTTCCATACAAAAGGCAGAATAAAAAAAAAAAAAAAAAAAAAAAAAATCATCCAATCGTTATGAATTATGACCCAAGTATAGGGCGGGGTGAGCAACACGTGCTCATATAAAAAAAACAAAAATAAAAAAATACTAAATAAAATAAAAAGTAAGCATATCATAGTGCAAAATGAAAACGAATGGCTAAAATGAAGGTAAACGGTGAACGCGGAATAGCGACACCGGTACATAAGCAACAACACACACCCACTAAGCGCAACTGTCGATTTGCTCATAAGGGGCCGCTCAAACCGTGTAACTATGTGTTCGAACATATGGGGCACTTCTCAACGTATCGGTGAAAGGTATAAACGTAGACTCATTCCCCAAACGACCATGGGGCGACGACGACGCATACTCATAACGTGGTCACATATGTAGAGGTAAGGTTCCTGTGCAGTGTCTACCACATACAACACTGCATAAGTGTACTCGTGCACAATTTATCCACAACACCATGTTCGCCTCTACCTGAGTGCATGTAGACCACGCGCGGTCACCCCAGCTTCTTGCGCCAAAGGAAAATCTCCTGCTTCTTAAAGTAGCGGCGCTCATCCTCATCCACAATTATCAAATTTATATAGTACTTAACGGAAAACTTGTTTTGAATATTTTTATAAGTGGGGGTCAAATCGAACCCACTCAAATACAGCCTCACCGGGATACACTCCGACTTTATTGGTGACCCATCCATAATTTCAAACTTAGATAATGTAACCGTCTCAGTGGTGTAATTTTTACCAACCCCAGAGGTCTCCATTTTAATAATATCTAACTCCATATGTTTTATTTTAATCCTCACAAGTAAAAAGTAAACCTTACCAACCACAACATCTTTCAAATGATACTTGGACTTATCATATTCGAATTCAATATGAAGGCAGTCTTCAATTCCTACCTCCATTTTTATAGTGCTGTTGATCTCAGGAGGAATGCATAAATTTTGAACGATAAAATCAATTTCCTTTTGTATGTTCCCTGCATATCCTTTTATTATATTTAATCTGACAAAGTACCGTAACTCTACATTAGTTCCAAAATATGATTCATGTTGTTTGTCCACTGAAGAAAATTTCCATTTGAACTGTTTGCTTTCTATTAGAAACCCTGGGGGCTCTAGATCTTTCGATATGGAAAAGAAGTCATATGAATTCGACTTGTCATTTAGAATGTTTATCTGACCAATCAATTCTAATTTGATCCCGTAATGTTCAAATTTCTTTCCTGGCTTTAAACTGATTGTGGCAACTCCGTTGATGTCCTCTCCATCTGAGAAGATGGGACACTTGTCTCCCTTTTTGTCCTTTCGCAAAAAGGCGAACTTCCGGCTTCCTTCTGCGTCTATTTTAAGGTCTATCGAGCACACGCTCCCGAATATGTTGGACAGCTGCGCAAATGAGGGGGGGGTGAACGGCAGGCACATCGTGTAACACTATATTGGAAGTATGCATAAGAGCAATTTAGGTTGACGCTCTTCCAATTACCCTCTTTCACGTGACGAAGTGTGTACCCTCCCATGCTTACCATCGTGACACCAGCACGGCTCAAAATCAACCTGGCACATGCGAATATCCCCTTGCACCAAATCGAATCGATAATCCTACGCCCGTTCAGCGATGTCCCGCTCTACTGCATCAGCAGGTGTTTCATATAGGAGTACATGAAAGCAGCGGGGTGCTTAAATGAGTTACACACAAAGGGGCACAATCGAATATGCACAATATGCAGTCCGTTTTATGTCGCACGGGTACACACACTAGAGCAATCTGCACAGTGAAGTGGTGCCCTGAGGTGTATTCACAATGCCCCAGCATATATACAACTCCAACTTCTAGGCTTCTGCGCCTCGGAAGCCCACCTATCAGGGATACACTACTAAATAGGAAAAAAAAAAAAAACAAAAAAAATGGGTCAAGTTATCCTTCAAAAGGTAAAGGTAAATATCAAGCCGTATATCTCAACAGCGCTTGTGATGGTACACATCCACATTAGTTCTTTTCCCCTTGGCAATTTGCACGAAAATAACAAAAAATTAGAAAGATGAAAACGCTCAAGAAGGTTAAAAAAAAACGAAACTGGAGGGAACAGAACGAAGTAGGTATGCGTGATGGTCCCTTTTAAACATACAGCAGTGAAAACTGCCCCGCTCCCTTCAGGTCACATTGCCCAAGTTCATAGTGCGCTTTCCTATGCTACTTTTGCATATGGATCTTTGATGCGGCCAAAATGTATTATCTGCGCCCGGATTGGCGAAATGGTGAAATGGAATTTTTTTTTTTTTTTTCACCTTGCCGTTCATGTAAAATATAGGAAAAAAAAAAAAAAAAAAAAAAAAAAAGATCGAGCTAAACAAATGCATATACAAGTGTCCTGTTCTCCCCACAAAAGAACACCCTTTTAAGCACATTGAAAAATACAAAAAAATACGCTAGGGAAGCCTAACCCGGATGTGCTACTTCCTACGTGGAATATTCCCACACACTTAATCGCATTTCGGAGGCAAGACCGTTTAACGAAAATGGCGTTAATGCTGATGCGCGGTGATGAACCTACCAAGTGCATGTAGAAAGAATAAAACTTTCGAAGCCGCACACGTGATAATCGCAGCATGTATCATGCCAATGCAAACTTAGGGTTTCTTCTTCCCGTTCTGGTTGTACACCCCCCACACAATAGTTGTAGTTAAAGCAGATTGAAGCAAAAAATGTTTTTTTAAAAAAATCAAAAAGAGTTTATTAAATTATAATTTTTTTTTTTTTTTTTTTTACTGTTGTCTTATTATTAAAAAAAAAAAGGGCGTCAAAGAATCATATATATGATACATGCTGCATACCCCCGCGTGTGCATATTACACATAGGGGTGCTATGCTGGAGTGAGATATTATCATATTGCCTGTACACAAATGGAAAGGCGAAAAAAAAAAAAAAAAAAAAAAATGTGGTACAACGGGAGTGGATATTGAATGCGCCTAATGGCAACTAAACGGATAAGCAGCTAAACACATATAACTGCAAAAAAAAAAAAAAGGGAAGCACGAAACAAAAACAAACCAAGTTAAATACGCTTAAAAAATAAATACTATGTCTTAAACAAAAAAAAAAAAAAAAAAAAAAAAAAAACGGGGGGGGGCCACAAACAAATTCTCGCGTCAAACGTTGTTCAAGTAGTGATGTGTCTGGTTAGGGTCAAAATTTTAATATGACTTGGGTAGATAAGGGGGGGGGGGGGCCCCGGCCGCACATACACATACATGCACGTACATAACATACAAGCTTACACATACTTACACATACTTACACATACTAACTCATATTTACACACATACTGAGGCATATTTACACATAATACTAAGGCATACTGTTTGGCGTCTTCCTCACAAACGCGGCACCCCCGCCAAAAAGACATTTTCATCGCTTGGCTTCGTAGGGGTTGGCATAAGCGTACTTCAACTTATTCAAATCCTTCAAGTTACTAACGTAAACGTTTTTCTCACAAAGATAACAGAACGTTCTTTTCCCTTTCTTCTTCTTTATGTGGTTTGTGCTTACCCATTCCGTAGATCGGCACAGGAGCAGTAGCGTTGTGAGCGACGAAGACAAAAAGAGGATGTTCCTGCCCACAGAAATGAATTTGTTTTGTACCCGAGAGAAGAAGGTAAACATAACAAGCTGCAAAGGGGGGGAGGGGGAGGGCAGAATGCGCCGATGATACAGATGTGGGTGGTGACGATGAACGTGGAAGCTGCAAATGGACACTGATGGGAACAGGTAACGCTACAACCGCATAAATGGCCACAATATCTAATCAATCCTAGTTGACCCCCTCAAACAGACTGTTCATCACGGGGACGCATCGCACAAAAATAACTTACTTGAAAAAAGGCCACGGAAAAAAGCATAAACTTAATAGCCGTTCTTATAATAGCTCCATGGCTGTCCAAATTCGTTCGACATACTTCATATATCAGGTTGTACTTGTCAACGTGGTACCGGAGGAAGAAGTACAGCGAGCCCAACGGGAGGATGAAAGGAACAGCGACACTGCAAAGGGGAGGGGTAATGTAAACATATACATATACATATATATATACATATATCAGACGCGTAAGTGATAAAAAGGGGGGAAGAGGGAAACAAACAAAAAAAAAAAAAATTATAATGTTTGTACCACTCTCCACCTACCTAAAGGTCAATATCAGGGCCAAAATGGTAGTGTTGAATCCGTACCAGTAACCAAAATCAAAACTCCATGCACCTGTTTCCTTCTTCGTTAGCGTTTTGACGATTGATCGAACTGTAAAAAAGGGGGCAAATGGGGAGGGGGGATGAACTCATTGTACATATGGACAGATGGATCCTTCCCCCGATGGACTACAGTAGCAGGCACGCACTTTTCCTTGTGCACCACCCGGTGTTTATTTTTACACACTGTCCTCTGCGTAGTGCAAATCGGGCCTTACTTGAAAACTGCGGAATCTGAAGCAACTGGTTTCCACATGTAAGAAAGCAACAGTGAAGCAAGTATCGCATAGCGAAGAACCCACTGGAGTTGAACAGGTAGGCCCCCAGGCGGGCGGACCACTGGCCTATTTCGTCGGAGTACATAACCTAAGGGGAGGGGGGAGGCAGGGCAACGTTTCGCAGTGCGCATGGGTTAGGAGTATTAATACGGAGTGAAGCATGCATGCGGGTTGCAGCATATATACATGTGTGCGCGCCCCACTCGAAGCGGCCTTACCTTTATCAGCGAACTGAGCGGAGACAAAGACAAGAGGGGAATAATAATCGTGTTCAAAATTAAAAAGATAAAATTCCCTTGCAATACGTATGTGTGTTCGCTGGACTTCCTTATGAACCCAATGGCGACCGAAACGCCCGCAATCAGGGCCGGCTGAATTATACTGTTAACGATAATGACGATAAATGGGGAGAGCCAAGCTGAGGGGGAGAAGGAAAAAAAAAGAGGGGTGCAAATGTGTGTTAAGCAGCTACTCCGTTACGCCGCTACGCCGCTACGCTGCTGCGCTGTCACGCGGCTTACTTATGAGAACGGCGCTAAGGTTGCCGGAGCTCGGGTCCTCCTGACGGTACTTCTTAATCTTCAGCTTCAGGATGTTGTCAATGGATGTGACGGTCAAAATGATAATCGTGTTGGCGAGCAACAGCAGCGCATTAAGAATAATAAAACGCGCACAAACCTTATAGCTGTGATTCTTCAAATTCTTCCATATAATGTCATAATTGGGGGGCGCATTGGATATGATCCACTTGTTCCTCTCAGTAAAAGGTATGTTATGAATGCAGTCATGAACGGACTTGGTGTCAATAAATGATACGAAGCAAACCCCAGTAGACGTTTTTGGAGTTTCATTTTTTATCGAATAAAATTTAATCAAATGTTCCTTAAGTTTTTTTTTCCAGTGACTTTTTTTATTTTTTTTTAAAAAGAAAAATAATTTATGAAATATATTTCTTTTAGACTCTGACTTGTATCGACTTTTTTTCTTCTTCTTATAATTTACGTCCATATTATCATTTTCCTTGGTAGACAAATTATCCAAATCGTAAAACAACATTTCGTTATTGTTACTCATTAAATTTTCATCTTCAATGTCTAATTTGTATGTGTAATTTTTGTTGGCATTTTTTTTCTTCTTCATTTTGCTGCTTTGCATATCGTCATCCTCGTCACTAGTATCTTTTAAGAAACTGGCTTTGCTTTCCACACGACTTCCTTTCCTTCTTCTAGCCTCTTCCCTCGGTTCCTCTGCCTTCTCATTCGTTTTTTCCTCTCCGCTCAATTCTGACCTCTTGTTCCTTCTCTTGCAGCCTTCTTTTGACCGACCTGCGCCGGCCACATTTTCTCCAATCCTTTGTCCATAGTATGCTTCTCCTTGCGCATCCATCCTCTCGCACTCATCCGCCTTGTTCCTAATTTGACAATTCGTTTCGTCCTCAGACCGATTTACCCCGTCGGCGGCCACTGCCACTTCTCCTTGGGACTTGTCTGCCCCCTCGATGAGGTCCTTCTCTGTAGTGCACACTTTATCCTCCGTGTCAACCTTTCCCACGTCCTGCGTCGGAACGCCTTCCTCATTTGTAAGAGGAGTAGTAGGTGCGACTCCCTCCGTCTGGGCCTTTTCCACGTTGGCATTTTCCTCATTCAACCGTTCGCCCCCGTCATCTAACTGCACGGGCATATCCTGTGAAGCGTTTTTCCCTTTTGCATCCCCCTTGGGGTCCACCTTTGGGTCCACCTTGGAGGGCCTGCCTCTGTGGAGAAAGCTGCGCAGGAAGCGCCTGGACCTCTCCCTCTTAATACTCTTCTTCTCCTCATTCTCCTTGAGCATTTTCAAATTCTTAGTGGCGTTGAAAATCTTCTTCTGCTCATGGTACACAATAGAATAATCTAATATCAGATAAGCAGAAACCACTTTATTATTTGTTAAATTACAAAAATATTTGTAAATCTTATAAGCATTTATTTCTTTCTTATCGATTCTGGAAACCATGATAGTAAAATTCTGAGGCAAAAATTTCTTCGTCTTTTTTTTACTAGGACGAATTTTCTTCCAAAGCAAATAAATAAAGGTATACGATATGACACTATAAATAACCGTAATGAAAAACAATATGGTTAATATATTAATATCTGAGATGCTACCAGCACTTATGTAATGGAAGAAGGAGGGGTTGTTAATATCATCTCGCGGAAGTGACAGGTAAAGTGGTAACACCAGAAAGGTTCCCAATACACACAGGGAAAAAATAATGTTCCTATTAGCCCTTAAAAAAAATAAATAATATTTTATTTCTGTATTAACAATTTTTTCATCCTTTATATTTAAGAAGGTTCTAAAACGATTTCCCTTCCTTCTAGTGCCACTACTTTCTTCATCTTTCACGTTGGATGATTCCTTGTCCGCTTTTACTTCACTCTGCGCTTGGTTGTTCAGTACATATATGTTATCACTTATTTTATTTTCATCGCGCCTTTTTCTTAAGTATAACCATACACACAAACATATGGCAAAGAAGACAATGTCAAACAGGAATGCTATCAGGAAGTCTTCTGTTTCGTTCTTCATCTTTTTGTATTTCTTCGGTTTTATACGAATTACGTCCGACATTTTTTCTTTTTTTTTTTTTTTT